TATAACACCCTCTCCATGTGTTGGCACATGCCTAAAAAACTTTGATATAATTTATCTTTTTCTGCAGTCACATCATCTCACACTGACTTACAGTTTTAGAAAAAGATTCTTCAATTCTTTGGAGCACATGCTGTTATGTCTGATACATCAGATATTGACCAGTCATACTTATGACATTTGTAACTATTTTCACTGAAATTGTATGATAAAAATTTAACATTTTGTTCTTTGTTTGTTTATTTTTACATAACAGTACAATAAAGGTTAAAGATTTAGACAGAAATCAAATGAGTCAAGTGTAAATAGAGACTTTTTTGCCAAGAAATTTCTTTTTTACTTTTTATTCAAGTTCTTTTGACTTTTCTGTATTTTAAATGGCTTTTGAATGTGTGTCATCCACACTTTTAGTGTTTGGTTTTCTTTGTGATTCATTATTTTTAGTTTATTGTAATATTATGGAGGATGAAGACAAGCCTTTATTTCAAACACGAGTTAAAAACTTTGATATATAAACACACAAAAAAAATCTAATTTTGGAGTGCAAAATTAAAATATATATTTCTTTCCTCCTCTGGCAGGATGTTTACTTTTTATGGCTGTAATTTGATTTAGTCATTCTCATCAAAATAACTCTCAGAAGCAAAGAAAATGTAATGAAATTCCTAAACAGCAAACAAAAGCCTGTCAAAAATAAAGACCTGGTCATCACGGGAGGGTAAAATCAGGCCAGATATAAGCTGCAGATATTTCCCTCAGGAGCTGGAGTTAGACCAAAAACAGAGGAACAGAAGGACTGAGATGAATCAGAGTTACTGCAGCTGCTAAAGATAAGAAAGTTTTAAAGCATGTCTTTAACACTTTGATGACGAAGTCTCATAAAACCATACAGGTTGTAACACAAATAGAAACTGATTAAACATGTGCACTTCCAATGTGTAATAAGGCAAAATCTGTTCCTGTGATGAAGTAGAAATCTACAGATTTTGTTGGAAAAGGCTAATTTGTAGAATTGTGCCACTTACGATGGAATCATGTCAGAGCAGCTCTGCTACGTTAGCTTTTATTAGTTGTTTTTATGGCAACTCTTTGGGTTGGAGAATTGCCCTTTTGGACGATTATTTCCTCTGCATTTGGATGCTGTGCAACTGGAAAGATTTTTACTCCTGTTTTACTTTCTGACAGTTGTTATGATGCAGCTCCTAGTTTATTTCACAACTAGGAGCTGAACTACGACCTCAAATCTCAGAAGAGTTTAAAAGAACATGGATGCAGAGCAGAGGAGGAAATCCAAAATCATCTCTTCCATCCATCATAAGGGGGAAGAATAATGTAACTACAATATATTTTTTATTTATTTATTTTTTTGTGAAATGTTCAGAGATTTGCAGAAAATGCCTTCAGGAGTCAGTCTGTATTACATTTTAATCATGACTGACTTACGAAACCGAACTGCTTGTGCAATCTCCAAAATGAAAGCAGAAGACTTCATATCCCGAAGGCAAAAAGGGAAAGCCGTTTGCTGAACTTCGCTGTGTTGGAGGCCGTTCGAAGCGGTTTTAATGTTGCTCCGGCTGTTAGCCATGAATGAATGGAGAGGCGTGTGTGTACCGCTTTCAAACCGCAACTAAATCCATATCAACTCAAAAGCTGCTCAGCAGAGCTCCCTGCTGTACTGATTATTTTTGCTTGTGGGCATGTGGGGAGCACAAACATAGACCCACACACATAAGTACTCCAAAGTGATGTCGAAATGCTCACTTTCTTTTTATTTTTTTACCAAGAAACTTTTTCCATCCATATTTTGCAGGATATAAAATTTAATGTAGTTTTTGCAACAATCTTTCGCAGTCTTTATCGTTGCTTCTTGCTCCTGTATGTTAGATTATTTCCTTAATTGTTATATTTTATGATACTGATGAGATTTTCTGTTTCTGTCAAAACAAGCCATTTTTTTCAATGTTCTTTTTAAGTTTTTCCAAATTACAAATAACTTTAAAATGTTACTAATCCACATGCTTGTAAAAACAAAAACATGGTAATATTTGAGTTTTTGTTTTTAGATTATATAAAAATAAACAAAAGTACATTATGGCAACAAATGTAATTATAGAAAATGTATTCACAAGGCTATTTTTAATCTTTAGTCCCTTACCAGGTTGATGGTACAAAATAAAGAAAAAAAAAGTCACACATATGGACAAATTTAATTTACAGCAAATTACAAGAAACGGTTAATTGTGGTACAAATTAGCAATTATAAACAGCAAGTTACACCCATAAAAACAAACATTTGAAACAGTTGCTGATTCAGAGATGTTAATTTAAATCATGCATTTTCTGCAAGAATATTGCTTTTTCTGTTTTAATACAGATGTTTAAACTTTTTTGTGAGGTTTAGCCACAAAAACAATTCATATAAAGATACCAAAGGGACAAAATGGTTATTTTTAGAAAAACGCAACCATCAAAGAGTCATAAGTTTCATTACTACGAAAGGCCGGAAGTGAGTGGCTGACAGACAGGTGTCAATATCAACAAACAGCAAATTTAGCAAATTAATCTTGTATTTTCAACAAAACACTGATTCATTACTGCTAAAAATCACCACTAATGCCATTGAAGCTGAAAGCCCTTCTCCATGTGGGCCAATTGACAACTTATAATCAAGACAAACATTTGGAAAATTGAATTTTTTTGGCCTTGCATTCATTTGTCCACAAGCCTGCCATTTTACAGCGTCACAGAGAGACGCGATTAAAATCCCTGGAGTGAGATTGATTCCCTCAAACACTGTCCTTCTCTCTCTATTCAGTCAACGCTGGCCACAAGCAGCTGCAGGCAGACATGTTGGCATGTTCTCAAACACCCTGAAGAAAGTCACTCTGAAACACAGATTTGGTCCTAATGACTTGTGGAGCATGGATGAGACTAGCACACAAACTAAACAAAGTTGTGTATTCCTCCAGCAATTACAAACACCATCACTCAACTTGTTTTTTTCTATTTTTGCTATTCCAGGGTGAATCACATAAACTACCTCTTACTAATGAACCCACATTGCTCACATAGACTCAAGCCCCTGGTCAGTATATTGACAGTTGGGGTCCTAATTTACAGTGAGGCAGAAAAAGACCAAGAAGAACAGAGCTGTAGAGTCAGTCCTCAAATAAGATTTCATAGTTTCCTGCTTTTTTGTTGTTGTTGAGCAATACACCATCCGGCCTGTGGAAGAATGGATTGGACATCTTCAAAAGCTCACAAGATTGTACCTGAGACTGTTCAGGGTCAGAGGTACAATCTAGGGATGTGAAGCTTGTAGCCCATCTGTAGGATTTGTTTGTGTTCTCCAACCTCAGGTTGGAGATTTTGCTTTGCAGTCCTCTCAAGGCTGCTGGTTCATATTTTCCTACCACACTTTATTTTTCTACTCAACTTTCTATGAAAGCCGATTTACCCTTTTCACAATATTATCATTTTCTTAGAAATTAAATTTGACCTGTATTTATTAAAATGACAAGAAATAAAGTTTTTAAATATTTCACTGTGATGAATCTACATAACGAGTTTCACTTTATGAAAATGAAAAATGCTTAGTAAAATAAAATCTGGAATTAAGCAAACACAAGAGCAACATTACACAGTAAAAACTGCTGGGTTAAAAATAACCCAATACGTAACCCAGCGCTGGGTCATATATGGACCGACCCAACGCTGGGTTGTTTTAACTCAACTGGGTTGGGTTGAGGGTTTGACCCAGCACATTGGGTCATAGCTGCAACCTAAAGCTTGGTTAAATTGACCACTGCTCAAAGTTAAAATGACTCAATATTGGGTTGAAATTTATTACCCATTAAAAGGGTCATTTTACCACCATATTTTTTTTTAAATTTTTTTTTCCTTTTCTATTTTAAAATTCACTATAAAAATTGAACTAAAAACATTCAGATTAGCTCAAAAGAACTTTTATTTGCAAATGTTATACATTCCAACATACATGAAATTTTTAATACAGACATGTAAAAGTTACGTATAAACAATTGATTAAATCTGCACCCTTTTTTAACTTTATTGGTGTACACAAAGAAATATTTTCATCAAGAGTTTGAAGGAAATGTGAAAAAAATAGCAACATAGTAACAAAACATCCAGCAGGTTTTCAATCAGAACATTTAAAACTTATTTAAGGGTTATTGAAGAATTGCTTTTATTCTTCCATGGCCTCCAACTGGGCCCTCATTAATTTTATCGGGGGTGACTCGTTTCCTGGGATTTCATATATCACAGTTTGGAGAAAATCCCAAATCTGGACACACGACTTCGGATAACTCATATCAAAAACGAAGAACGATTTGAAACAGCCGTCAACAGCCCCCAAAAGAGATGGATATTCCAAAGCAGTTCCATTTATGACGACAAATGCTTGGGAACAACAATACCTGTCCCCAAGCATGAGAACACGTGGATGCTCTGTTGCCGTACTTCCAAGATATTCCACCATATTTGTCCCAATCTGGTGTGTGGAAAAAGCAGAAAGGAAGCCATTAGTCATTTAAAAGGTAAGGAGGAACTAATAATTTTTGACTAATTCTTATATGATTTTTGTTTGATACATTATCAAAAGACCCTTGCGTTTGAAGTTTATATATACTATATAAAAAGACATATTTTTGGTCAACGCTGTCTTGTGTTATATGACATTAAAATTCTCATTTCACGTCAATTAGGACATGGTAAATTCAAGATTAATGACAGGGAGAACAGTGAGGGAAAAAAAAGCATATTTGTTTTAAACTTCTGGTTTCAACTACATTTAAACAGCAAAGAACTCGTTCTGACATGAAGATAGACTTACTGGCTGGACATCAATGAAGGCTTGCTGGACTTCAAGGTTGCTGGTCTGACCACCTTTCGCCCAACTCTGTAGGGAACAGCAGGGAGGAGTTTTTGGCAGCAGCTGGAGTGCCACGTCACCTTGTTTGTCTGTCAACGAAAAACTCAGATTAAAATGCTACACAATCAAAAAAGCCACAGGAGAAAAAAATAGTTCAGAAAATGTTCCTTTTGAGCTTCAATACCTTGTGGAAGCAACTCAATCTCAGGCAGAAGACCGCTCTCCTCCTTCTTCCCCATGCGAATGACCTTTGATGAGAACAAGGTGTTCCAGTTCTCTGTCAGTTTTCCACAAGACTGTGGATATAAAACGGCAAAGTCCTGCAAAATCTAACAATCAGAAAAGACAAAAATACAAATCAAATGTAAAAGTGAAATGAACTATTACATTCAACCTTTCATGGGTGCTACAAATTTATGTTCTGGGTAGTTTGACATTTTGAGTTTGATTGTAATTGTACATTTACACATGATATTGCAGTTTATTGTTTAACATTTAACTGATCTCAATATAAGGTATAACCTCACCATTCCTGGTGTGTCCAACAAACGTGGAAACTCTGCAAAAATCTGCTGCATTGGGATTGTCCCACTTGAGCGGATCCATCCTGCGCGATATACTGCAGTTTCCCGCATGTATTGGACAACCTGGTCTGTGGGCCAAAAGTTATTTTTCAGCCATTCTGTCATCTGGATGGCACGCTCAGCACTGATGGTTGGTTCTGTGGGGAAAAAAGTATTACAGAAATTAAAAGAAAAAAAATGTGAGGTAATTCACAGCAATGATAAGAGCTTAGATTGCTGCTCAAAACAATAGGGGCTTGGAAAAAGTCCATGTGCTAGTACCAGGCAAACTTAATCTTTTGGTGGAGCTTCTGGGGCTGAAAGCATCTTCTTCCTTGGTTGATGCCTTTTCCTTACATTACGGCGACGCTCCTCCAGAAGCCAGTTGCTGGCCTGTGTTGTCTTCCGGGGGTAAACCAGGCGTCCTGAACATTTTTAACAAAAGAAATATAAAAGTTAAATGTTAGCCTTTCTGTTTTAATGTCCAAATTTTTATTAAACCTACAACTCAAAGATCAAACACCATAGTTACAATGATATTTATTGCTAACCATTGTGCAAGTTGTTGAAGTACTTGTGTGCTAGTTCTCTGAAGTGTGAAAACTTACATATCCTGTGCCATGGCTGTCTTAAACATGGAAACTGGTCCACAATCGAAGATGCCAGAATTGCTTTAGTGTCTGAAGATGGGCTGGAAACAAAAAAATTACATTCAGTAAGACAGGCAAGTAAAATATTTTATTTTAATTAGTTATTGTAAGATGAAAACATAGAGCAGAAACCTTAAAACACAAACAATTTCCAAAAAATCCAGTTTTTATTAGCCCAACACATACTTTAAGACTTCTTACTGGAGAAATTTTACTTAGGTGAGCACTGCACAATGCCGTTAATGTTCTCACCAAGAGCAAAATGTCACACAAACAACCTAATTGATCTAGTTTTAGAAGAATACTCACTTTTCTCCATATTGATCCATCAGGTGTGACACAAGTGTTCTGACCATGCACCGTCTTTCACGAATGGACATATGCTGATTTCCATCTAGACTGATAACCACAGGTCTACCTTCAGGGGAGGCACTGAGGATCTCACGGATGTTCTACAGATAAATAGTTAATGTGAAAAATAAAATAGCTGTTATTTAGCTGCAGTTTAATATTCTTAGAAATTTAAGAAAAGATGAGATGTGTCATTTTTAATTTTAATTAGTAAGAATGGATGTCAATATGTTAGGTAGGAAAGGTTGATTGTGCAGCTTAACTTACAAATGCTGCTCTTCCAACAGAAGAAACTCCACTCTCTAATTCAGCATGTGGTGTAGGATCAGCATCTTCAGTTGTTTTAGGGCTAGAGGTCTTTAAAATACAAATATAAGAAATATTAACCCCCAGAGTAAATTTAAAGTTTGAAACTGCAAAATGATAGAAATTATGTTAATTATATATAAACATTGTATAAAAAAGTATTCACACAATCAAGACAGACAATGTTAATGATAATCATTTAAAGTTGATGAACCCATAGTTACACTCACCATTGTAATGTCAATGATGATAATCCTCTCCACAATAACTTTTTTTTAATATAATTTAGTTAATAAATGAGTTCCCACTTTGAAAAATGTAGCTATTGGTCATAGGTCAAGACAAATGCAAAATTATGTAGAAAACTATATACACAACATGTCAGTCTTTAAAAAAGCCTATATCTCATAGAAATGCAAAACTCATTGCTGTTTTCTTTTCGGACTTTCACAGCATGTAGGGGGTGATGATCATCAATGGATTCAATGTCCAGTGCCCCAAATTCTGAAGTGGGACACACAGTGAAGGAAAAGAAATGCCTATGAAACCCAGTTGTTTCCCAGTTGTTCACAATAAATTTGATACTTGAGTTTATTGTCAAAATTCTCCTTATGATTCCAAACTGGGGTTCCCCATCTTCAGAGTGAGACAATAACATTGTCATTCCTGGCCTGTATTTTGTACCTTTGTACTTTATCCAAGATGGCACAAACACTTCTGTTAAAACAGCAAATTCCTCCAATCCACTTGTCACCTTTTCAAAATCATCTACAGCACCAAGAATTTTAGTGCTTCCAGGCCCAACTTCAAGATCATGAGAGAACATCTGACCAGACAGAAGAGTGTAGCACATCATCATTTGATGTCTGTAGGCCTGGGTTTTACATATATTACGAAAGCTGCAGTTCACATGACTAACTCGTTTGAAAAATCGATGTTTCGCCTCAAAGCGCATGGACCAGAAGTGAACGACAGGCCCTAATTTTCTTATGGCTTCAGGATAATGTAACATGAAATGGTGTTTGGGTTTTAAGTGTTTACCAGGAAAGAGCTCCAAATAAAGACAGTGATGTTCCTGAATAAGATATTTCAAGAACATTACTGCTCCCTGTGTTAACGAAGGAGAAAAAATCAACTCCATACAGCTAAGCAATGAAAGGTGTAACTCCCAAAACTGGTTTCCCTCTGGAACCAAATCCCCAATCATGAGAGGTAGGAGTCTGAGTAGGCACCATGTCTGTGATGCTGTTTGCCTAAATGCAGAATCAGGATTTTTGAGATCATGGAGTTTGAAAGCAGATGGCTTGTTGCGACTATCACAGAACCCATAGTCAAAGCTGGTCAGTCTATAGTTCAGCTGGTCAATAGTGAGAACTTTTTGCTCAATCAGTGCATTTAACACAAGCTTAACTTCATAACCTCCAACTCCTTCAAGAATGTCGTGCATAATATCAGGAGCAACATTGTCGGTGACATGATAGAATAATAACTTATTAAGAAAACTCTCTCTTTTAATACCAGTTTGAAACTGGTTGTGTAGAAGACAGTCCGAATTGTAATTAGCTTTGTCACGCAATGCTGAAGGGTCTTCAATTGTCTGTACCTTCAGAACATCTCTGTGTATGCGACACCACCTACACACACTATTTCCAACAAAACTTTCTGTGTAGCCCAGTATGCTGTTTAGTCCAAGGTTGTCCCCACAGACCTGTGCCACTCCAGCCTTGACAGTCCCTTTGAAATATGGAGTTTCTACATGAAAGCCATTCATTTCCAGATCTTTAATTTCACGAACAATTGGCTCTAATACAGCATTTAGTCCATAGGTTTTTACATCATCACTTTTGTACACTGCCAACAAAAAGTGAGATTTTAAACTAGAAAGAAACTCTTGTGGCAAGCACTTCATGGTATAGTATATAAACCCTAATTTGTGGACTGATGTTTTTGATCCAAGTGGATTAACCATCTCGCAGTCATCATTGTAAAGTGCTAATGGAATAGACACATCTTCAGAAAAAAGAAGATTGGTTGCAAACAATGCTCCATCTTTAAAATCCTCAAGGCCTGTCTTTTTAATTTTTTGCCACTCAAGAATTTTCTTAATTGTTCCAGGACTTTCAAGAATGACTTTTAACATAGATTTGAGAGGAACATACTGAAAGGTGTCTCGTACTGCTACTTGTTTCACTCTCCCTGTCTCTCCATCAATTTCCTGCATATATGAAAAGCCAGGAAAAGGAATTGCTTCAGGTTGTATGAAGTACCCTGACTGGGTGAAATGCTTCATTTGTCTGTATTCTGATTCAAATCCTCGAAATGGTTCAGAAGCTGAAGTAAACTCCTCTAAAAGTTTCTCAGCTTTTGGAGTTTCAGACTGTCCAGTCTCTTTTAAGAATGCAGCAGTTTTTCTTTTTAGGTTGCCAACTAGATCACTGATCAGACAAGATGTGTTTTCAACAACATCTCTGATTCCACTTAAGGTCTGTGAGGATTTGGCCTTCAATCTAGCTAAGAAGAGTGCAACTCTGTCTTTTATGCTCACATCCTCCAAATCATCCCAGTGTTCCAATGTTGCCTCATCACTTTCTAAATTGCATATGGTGCTCAAACGAGGACTTGTTGTTCTTTCACAATGTCCAACATAACTAGTTTCTCTTATTTCTGTGTCAAACTCAATAGCATGCCCTAATAGATGTCGCCTAAATGATCTCATATGATTAAATGTACGTTTGCATCCACTTTGAGCACACTGGAAATATCTTGAAGTTGAATATGTATTATGAATTACTCTTAGATGAGAAAAAAAATTCCTTATGTTATGTCCTATAGACATCCCACATTTAAAACACACATATCCCATTTTGTCTTGTCCTATGACTCAAAGCATACCTTGAGAAATTTTGCAAAATGACGTTGAAATTTCAGACGAGGACCAAGGTGAGGAATCAGGGATGTCAGGCAGTTAGCATCCAAAAGAAAGAAGCTTTCTTCATCAATGTTTTCAGCTGAAATATATTAGAAATTACATATTAATATTTTCAATCCAAAGAATTCCTGCCAATGCATGCTTTTAAGTACACACACACACACGCACGCGCGCGCATACTTAACCTACCTTCAAAAGCAGGGATTAGGTCAGAAAGTTTCCATTCAGTCAGCTTCTGTTTTACAAACTCATCCATCTTTCAAATCTTACAGGGAAAACAGTGATACAATTTGAGTCATTTTTTTTTTCTATGTGGAAAATAATCTGTACAATGTGTGCAAAAATATTTTATTTAGGACAATCACCAAATATTTCACAGCAAAAATAAGAAAAAATAATAGGACACTGACTATATGTTTAGCAGCTAATAACCCTGAACAAATGTAAAACATCACTTTTTGGGACACCGGGAGAGATCACACTGTTCAGTCTTGTTTTCACCAGCTCTCCCCTCAGCGCAACCTGATACTTGACAACATGAAGCAGATCTGTGTAAACCCTAAAGTTAATCCAGCTGTTTTCACTAAGAACTGTATGTTTTTAATTCCATCTTGGTGGCTAATAATGGCCAGAATAACATACTTGCTCATTATCTAATTTCTGCGTCATGATGATGTTGCTGATTACATAAAATCATATGGTAATGACAGCGTACTTGTCTGACAGATACAGTATAGCCGTCAGTTTGTGTTAAGCATATGCCATCGCAGAGTGTGCTGATCTGACAGAACACCGGTGGGGACGACTCCAAACATGTTGGAGCACTTATAAATTAAGAGATATTTCAATAAATCGAGCAGATATTTTATTGTTACATAGTTAAATCTTCACTAGAAATCTGTAAAAGTTACTTTTATTTGACAGAAAGCATAATATCCAACTTTAGCTTCCTCTCCTCTGCCATTGCTGGTGCATACTGTTTTTTCTTCTCCACTGCCTCAATCGGTTTCACCCAGGTTAACCGTATAATAGCATAGCATAGTGTGTTCAGTAAGAAAAAAGGCTTAATGAAAATGGCATTTAACAGTTATATTACTGATATATTACTATGAATACCTGTATACTCTGTACTGATCGCTTCGGACACCGCTACTGCAAGCCTCCAGTCCCTCCTTGTCGCTATAGATCCGTTATTAGCATTCTAGCTGCTACCACCTTTTGCGCGCGCTAGTGAACGAGGCCAGCGAAAACCAGGGGCAAAGCGCATCACACCCTCACCCTTTTTTAAAACAAATTGGATAAATTATCTTTGAATTAAATTAATTATTTCAAAAACATTACCCTATCAACGAAGATGATAGGTTAAATCAAATAATTCAATTAAAGTTACATAAATTTAATTTAAAAGATCTGTAGTATATAAAGAATACAATAACCCTATTAACTTTAAAAATATTATACCATAATATTGTAACTTACCATGTTTTATTTGAATTGAGAAGTCCAGTGTTGTCTGATCAGGTCACAGTCCAGTTGAAAATGGAGGTTTGTGAAGAGGGCAATGGATTTTTATATGAACTGTATTTGACCCAACCAATTGGGTAAAGTGTTGAGTCAACCGAACCTGAAACCTAACAGAATCAGTTAAGTGGAGTTCATTAAAACAAAAAAAAAAAGTCAACCCAACCGCTGGGTCACTACTTTTGAACCAATATTGGGTCAAAGTAACCCAACATATGACCCAGCATCTCTTACCCAGAAGTTGGGTTATGAAAATAACCCAGCATTTTTTACTGTGTACAGATACACATTTTGAAAAAAAATAAAAATAAAAATAGATTAAAACCAAAGAATTGTGCAGAGGTTTAAAGTTCCTCTTTCTGATGCATAAAAGCCCTCTTATCCACTCACATCTCTAATTCGCAATAGACACCAAAGAAAACTCTGAATTGACCCAATTAAAATGTCTCATCTGCTTTCAGCTTGAGGAGCCCTTAAGTCTCCATCGAAATTATCAGACGGTTCTGTTGACTGATTAGATTATCAGAAGGGTTTCACTTCAAACCGACCCCGTCTCTGCAGAGAACCCAGATGAGAATATCAACTGTAGTTTGTTTATTGAACATAATGCTCATTTTATTTTTAATGCACTATCTGGAAGACACTATAAGGCCCTACACATTCATTAGCATGCCTGGAATAGACGTGTGAAATAATATGAGATGACAGGTTTAGGTTTCATTTGAACATTTTGATTTTATGTTCTGTTTCATTTTGTGCTTAGCTTATAATTTATTACATTTTGGGTTTGATCAGGTTCAGGAATCATTGGGTCTAATCAGAGGCAAGTAGAGGCAGCTGGGGAAGAGCAGGTAGAGGGAGAACAGATCAAAAACTGGGTAGAAAGGCAGTTTATGGAAAACATGAGCAGAATATGAGAAAGAGAGAAAACAGGGACATAAACAGTAACATTTAAGTGGCTGGCTAATGGTATTTGTGGATTCAACAAGTCACAAATTTTTCTGTGTCAACTCCAAAATATTCACTAAAAATTAATCTATTTGTAGATTTCCATATGAATCATATCTAATATTTGAAAGAAAATTAAGCTTGGGAAGCTGAAATTGTCATTTTGTGCATGGCTAATAAAAGCTTGGCTAATAAAATTTTGAAAGGTTTATTGCAGAAACGGTGAATAACGAGACAATCTCAAAAAATCCTGGTGCTCTCTGCAGAGAGAGAGAAATATGGGCAGGGAGAGAAATGTGAGCAGAGGGTTGAACTGGGGAAATTACTGATAAGTTTTAGGTTCTTCGGTTGAAGATGAGAAAAAGGGAGGTGAGTGAAGAGATCTGGATGAAATTTGGGGGGAGTGTGTCTGGAAGACACTAATGTTTATCAGAACAGGTTGGATGAATAACTGGTTCTCAGGAGCTTGAAGGCTACCAGCTGAGGAAAAGGTTAACCAGAGGCTAATGGTTTCACTGGTGGAAGTTTCCACATGAGGAGGAAACCACCCAGAGAAGTTCTGAGGAAGAACACAAGAGAGTCAGCAAGATTCACAGACATCAATAGGATCAGTGAGGCTGCAGGAGGCAACAAGGGACTGACAGCCAGCTTCTGGCACGCTGTGAATGATCACTGATGACCTCCAGGTGAGTGGAAGCGCACCTGAGGAGAACCACCCTCCGAGTGTTGGTCCCATGGCTCCATCTGGTGGAAACCTGTAAGAAAGCTTTAACCACTCAGAGGACACCCCAAATCCGAAACAATTCAGGTAGATCTGGTGCTTGAACTTTTAAAATAGGCAGTTGAAAACATTTGTAGACTGGTTCTCCAGTATTTGCTGCGTTCATCTATCTGTAGACGGTTTAGCTTCCTAATCCCTACTGTAATTCAAAGAAAATCACAGATTTTTACGAAGCGACACAAGGATGTAATGCCAGAAGCTCAAAGATGCACATTTAATACATTTAATATGCCTAAAGTCATTCTCTTCTAAAGAATTTGTGACGTATACATGTAAAAACACGAGCATAAAATTGTATGCCAGTGATTCTCACTTTAGACTATGTTTATATTTGGCATAAAAAAATTGTAACTGTCACTATTCAAAACAAGATGTTTGTATGTACATATATTTTCTGGAGACAGTTTTGTGTCATAATCAACTGAGGGCATTTTCTACACTCAGTGGCTTCAAAAAGCAGTTTTTTGTGCTGTCGTTCATATACACCTGCTCTTTTGTGGCACAGAGAATTACTCTGCACACCTGGTAAGGACAATAGATGGCAAGCTGGTCTGATATGCTGAACAAAAAAAACACAGAGGGAAATGCAGAGGCATCCAGAACAGACCAGTATCCTGCTCTCCATTGCACATTCATTGAAAAATAAACTGGACGGCCTCACAGTTAGGGTCATTGCGCTGGATGGTAATGCTTTTTGTTGCGGAGACAGATAGGTATCCCCCACCGTCCCTCACAAAGCAGCAACTCTGTTGGATTCACTCTATATGCTTCACATCAAATGAAACAGATGAAACTGCTTCAACTCATCAATCGGTGGTGGAGAGAATTTGATGGTGAACCACATAAAGTGGGAAAATTTCCAGAATCAATTTGCAAAGTCCCCTGACGTCCATGTTGGACATTTCCTCTCATGTATTGTGATTGGATATGCATGGAATGGACATTTTTCAGTTGTTAGCTGTACTGAGCGCATTTTCTTAAAATGACCCACATCTTTAATATTCTACAGACGGGTGTCCAAAGTGTGATCAGGGGACCTTTTTTTGGCCCTCAAAATGATTTTGTGCAGCCCTTGGCAACAACTTGCGAATGAGACAAAAGAAAAATGAGGGGATGCCTTTCCAAAAAAATGCTTGCAAAAATTGGAAGCATAAACTTTTATTTTTTATTTACCATGTTTAATGGTTTGTATTTAACTATGTAGTCAATTCGACCACAGATAGGGATTGTTGCAAGGATATTATCATCTGCACTTCCTGAAGTTTTTGTACCTCCAAAAAAATGTATTAGTCAACATACTGCTTTGATACTGGAATAAATACTTTGTCATAATAAAATAGCTAGCGTGTTCAATAAGCCCAACAATTGAAACTGGAACATAAAGTTGTTGTTCCTAAACTTTCTGTATTGTTTGAGATTAAATTATTTCCAGTCTGAGGATCTGACAGTTTTACATATTTTCTGCAGTTTGGAGGTGTTACCACAGTAACAGTACCTTTAGATTATACACAGAATTTATGACTTTACCCTTAACATGGTTTAAACCTATTACAGATAACTTTATGAAGCCATGTATACATATGTTTTACCTTTCATGAAAAACTGAAAACACATCAAGTAAAAGAGAAACATGCAGGATTTGTTGGTAAAAATTAAAACATTTTAGAAAACAGAATGGCATTTTGATGTACAGAGTTTGTGCTTTAATCTGCTTTTCCACTGACAGAAACATCAAATTTTGAGACGGAGCCGAAGCTCTGGATGTCTGCTTGGATCATGGAACAGAAAGATAAAGGCTGAAGTGGGGAGCAGTGATTTCTGCCTTGTTCATATGAAACCAATGCAAGAAGAACATCACTCAAGTTGTTCTGATGCTGGAAATGTCTGACAATTTAGACAACCTCCAGTCTGAGGTACCCAGAAGCAACGATTTGCCTTCATGAACCGCTGACAATATGTCAGATTATCTATTACATGTAAACATATGCATATTATAATTGACATTAAGTGATTTAAATGGGTCAATACCCAATATGTCCAAAGCTAAGTAAACAAGTAAAACATTCATGCATAGCATTGACTTATTATTGTTTACTGATCAACAAGACTTTGACTCAGATTCTTTAGATACTTGCCTTCTGTCAATTGCATCCTCTCTCTCCTATCCGTTTGACTAAAAATGTATCATCAATTCCAAGAGTTTTAGACTTCCAAGAGTCGTGTGTCTCTTACCAAAAATGTATTTTGTAGGTTTATTTATTTTGTTTCAAGTCAACATAATACATTTTCTTCATTTTACTTTCAAGTTCATGAAAAAAGTACCAGAATGATTTGATATGACATCTTAATGTTTATTCACCAAATTAAAATTGACAGCATTATCAATCATCAAGCTTAATGTATTACTTTTAAATCTTCAAGAAACCCAAGAAAATCCCAAATATTATTCTATCAGGAACTGAAAACTGTTGAATTATCAGAAACAGTAAAGTAAACTGATAACAATGTGACGCAAACAATGATTTCTCTGTTTCCCGCAGCCATGATAGAGTGAACACACCTGGTGTCACCTGAGTTTTGATGACTCAGTCAGTTGTTTTCAAAAGAAAACTGTTGTGAAGAAAACTTGAAATTTTATTACATTCAGAGCCTTCCTCTTCCTGGTCTCAAACAAACATTACAGCAGCTGCTGAAGGACAAAGCTCATTGGCTGCAGTATGTCTGCCCTGACATGTGATTGGTGGATCAGACCTCAAACCTGTTTCTCTTCTCTGGAAATGAAAGTAACACAGTCACTGTGACTGAGAGGAGAAATGGAGCAGCAGGCAGTTCAGCTGGACCGAGAAACCTTCTCCTGTTCCATCTGTCTGGAGCTACTGAAGGATCCAGTCACTATTCCCTGTGGACACAGCTACTGTATGAACTGTATTACAAACTTCTGGGATGGAGGTGAGAAGAAGAAAAGCTACCACTGTCCTCAGTGCAGGAAAACCTTCACACAGAGGCCTGACCTGCAGAAAAGCACCATGTTAGCAGCTTTAGTGGAGCAGCTGAAGAAGACTGGACTCCAAGCTGCTCCTGCTGATCACCACTATGCTGGACCTGAAGATGTGGCCTGTGATTCCTGCACTGGAAGGAAACTGAAAGCCATCAAGTCCTGTTTATTCTGTCTGGCCTCTTTCTGTGAGAAACACCTTCAGCCTCATCATAATGTGGCTCCATTTAACAAACACAAGCTGATAGAGCCGTCCAAGAACCTCCAAAACAACATCTGCTCTCGTCATGATGAGGTGATGAAGATGTTCTGCCGCACAGATCAGAAGTGCATCTGTTATCTCTGCTCTGTGGATGAACATAAAGGTCACGACACAGTCTCAGCTGCAGCAGAAAGGACTGAGAAGCAGAGAGAGCTGGAGGAGAGGAGAGGAAAAATCCAGCAGATGATCCAGGACCAGGAGAAAGATGTGAAGCTGCTTCAACAGGAGGTGGAGGCCATCAATCGTTCTGCTGATAAAACAGTTGAGGACAGTGAGAAGATCTTCACCGAGCTGATTCGTCTCCTCCAGAAAAGAAGCTCTGAGGTGAAGCAGCAGATCAGATCCCAGCAGGAAACTGAAGTGAGTCGAGTCAAAGAGCTTCAGAAGAAGCTGCAGCAGGAGATCACTGAGCTGAAGAGGAAAGACGCTGAGCTGGAGCAGCTCTCACACACAGAGGATCACAACCAGTTTCTCCTCAACTACCCCTCACTGCCAGCACTCAGTGAGTCCACACTCTCATCCAGCATCAACATCCGTCCTCTGAGACACTTTGAGGACGTGACAGCAGCCGTGTCAGAGCTCAGAGAGAAACTACAGGACATCCTGAGAGACTCTTGGACAAACATCTCAGTGATGGTCACTCAGGTGGATGTTCTACTGTCAGAACCAGAACCAAAGAGTAGAGCTGGATTCTTAAGATTTTCATGTGAAATCACTCTGGATCCAAACACAGTAAACACAAATCTGGTTCTATCACCGGGAAACAGGAAGGTGACAGTAATAACTCAGGATCAGTCTTATTCTCGTCATCCAGACAGATTCACTGAATGGTGGCAGGTTCTGAGTAGAGAGAATCTGACTGGACGATGTTACTGGGAGGTGGAGTGGAGCGGGCAACAAGTTTATATAGCAGTTGCATACAAGAGCATCAACAAAGTAGGATATGAAAATGAAAGTAAATTTGGACACAATGATAAATCTTGGGCATTAGATTGTTCCCTAAAAGGTTTTAGATTTGGTCACAACAACATTTGGACCTCCATCTCAGGTCCAGTTTCCTCCAGAGTGGGAGTGTATCTGAATCACACAGCAGGTCTTCTGTCCTTCTACAGCGTCTCTGAAACCATGACTCTCCTCCACAGAGTCCAGACTAGATTCACTCAGCCGCTACTGGCTGGACTTTGGGTTTGTACTAATAGAGACTCTGCAGAGATCTGTAAACCCAAATAGATTTTCTCTTTTTTCTCAGATTATTTATCAGGGTTCATTACTCTGATGTCTCTACTTTACCTTTCTGTTCTTATTCATTTTTCTGGTTTAAATATAGTTATCTGTGTTCTAGGAATCATTGAGAAAATCACTGCTGATGTTTTCTTTTTATTTTATATGACAGAAATATTTCTACACTTGAAAATATAATCTTCCCCGGGCTCTAATAGTTTTTGCTTTAATATTTGTCTTATGTATTTAGATACTGTTGTTCTTCTTGTTTTAAACAGTCAAGATTGAAATGAACTGAACTTGCTTCTGTTTTTATCTTTGTGATTCAAACAATAAAAGTGAAATTAACATAAGCTGAGAATTTACCCTTTTTTCTTCTCCGTTCTTTAGATCCTGCTCTGATGCTGTTCTATGTTTTTTCCCTACTTCAATAAAACAACATGAGAAATTTGTGAAGTTTTCTCTTCATTATTTCAGTGGATTGTGAGTTTTGTCATCTAAAGTGTAAAAACATTTCCTTCAGAGTGTCTCAGGTGATGATGGAGAAGATCAGATGTTTGGTTTCACCTTCATTCATCAAGAACACTGCAGAGAAATTAAAGAAAGAAAGATTTTATCAGCGGACTGGTCAGTTCAAACAAATATTTCAGTTTGTAATTTCTATCTATTGATAATTGGCTCATGATATCTTCTTGCTTAGTTCATATTCTATGGTAAACATTTTTAATATTTTAATATTTTCAACATTTGATCCCTATTAAATTTGGGTGTCACAAGTCAAGCCGTCATGTGGAAACAAGAAAAACAATAAAGTAAAATATTTAACTCTTGTTTGTAAAAGAGGAAACAAAGATTAGATTTAAAACAAGAAAACACTATAATATAGTTGTTTTTGGATGTCTTTGAAAAAGACATCCAAAAAAGACAGTAGTGCTCCTTTTTCTGCAGGCTGTAAAAACTTGATAACAGCCGCAGCTTCCCTCGTCAGATCTGAACACACACACACCTCTGACACACATAATGAATACTGGGACATCAGGCGCAACAATCTGACCTGATGAGTTACACTTAGCTTTAAGATGCTGCATATCTGCAGTTTTTTATAGTCAGGGTGAAAACATTAAGATATAAACACATGTTTTAGAAAACCAGGCCCCCAAATCTGAAGAGAAACATGTTATTTAGGACAGACAGTGACTTTAACAACCTAAACCGTCATCAGACATATTATTAACTAGTAGTGACCTGTAGTCATTCTAAATAGAAATATTAATCACATGAAAGTCCTATTACTGACCTTAACAGATTCAGCTCTCAACAGATTTTAGCAATAACTGAATAAGTTACTTTAACAGGTCAATAGTGACCTTAATCCTCCGGCAATCTTAAGAGATACTCTGTGTGAATAGTTTAAAATATTAAATAAGTTATTGAAACAAGTGTTTCAGTGTTTTAAAATTAAAGATATTTTTCCTTCACTAGCTTGTAAAATGTGGTATTGCTGATGGACACATTTAAACTACAGTAGTGAGAAGGATATCCTTCATTCTGGTGTTTACACAAAAACACCACAAGGCTTTCCGTTTATTGTAACAAAATTCTTGAAATCATGTGCAGCTTGCTGTATTTGTGTTTTAGGCAGCATGATATAAATGTTTAATTAAGCTTGAAAGGTGAGACTGGCTGTCAGGTAAGCATGTGTCTGACAGGGTGGAGTGAGGTGGTGAGGCATTTCATTTCTTTTCAAACTGGTTCCACCACATTTGTCTCATCACTTCCACAGTCACACTTTATGGCAGATTGTATATGAGATGGAAAAAGACATCCAGGCTACTCAGGATGATGCCTTAATTTCTTCCATACAGACAGAAATCTTTTAACCCTAGTGAACCAGTTTGGTCATTTTCACAGAAAAACAACTATTTTATAGTGTTTTCTTGTTTTATCTCTCAAGGGTTAGTCAGAGGTGTTTCTAAGAGATGAAGAGGAGGATTTTGATTTCAGCTTTGGCAGACTGTGGCAGTTTAGGATTAATATTGGGAGCAGAAAGATTTCTGTTTTCACTAAAGGAAGCTGCCATCTGGATGCAAGAGATAAAAGAGAAAACACATCTCATCTCTAAGTTCATGTGGAATGGGTTTGCATTTTGCTCCATTCACCATGTGAAAAGACCAGGTGAGATGGAGCCAAAGTACCTGTCACTCTAAATGTCCTGGTCCAGTTTTAAAATACTGAGTCCTGAGCTTTGCATAAGAATTCAAACCAGTCACGTTTCTCCTATGTGAACACTATAAAAGAAAAAATATATATACAAAACACAAAAATGCCTCAAAAAGAAGATGCTACAGTCCCAACAAAGCAAGTCTTCGAGCATAGCTGCTCTTCTGTTTCAAATTAAAATCTCAATAATTTCAAAAACATAGGTCAGCCTCTTGTGATTACTCCAGTAAAATTAAATTCTGTTCCCCCTGGAAATCAGTAAGAAAGGAGGAATAGTGAGAACTGAAGCTTAAAACAAGTCGCAACAAGTGAAAGGGTTCTGCAAAACAGGAGGCCTGACCCGAAAGATCTCAGACTTCCTTTAATAGATCACAGAACATAAAATCTTAAATCTTGAGATGTTTTGGAAATACAATGAGAATAAAAACTGCATGAAGTGGTATAGCACGTGTAGTGCAGAAACATTTAACTTTTTGATGGAAAACACTTTTTTATCTTCTTTTTTTTTTGCTAAAACCTGAGACTCTTCAAGCTTAATTTTGTTTTGCTTCCACTCATGTTTGCATTGTTTAATTAAACTAATTGGAGTTGAATGTGAGGGAAAGCGTTACCAAACAATAAAGTGCTTGTTAAAGCATCACAAACCTCTTCCTGCGATGCAGTGGTAATTCATTTAGTGCTGAGAGTAATGCAGGCTGTTTGAGAGTCAGTCATAATAAAAGAACAGCTGCACATCTGGATATGCGGCTCTCAGAAGAAGAGCGACTCAAAATCTCTGTTTAAAATCGTTCTGGTTGTTTGATTCCAGCAGCAAATCTGAGCCATTCTGCCGACGTCATGCCGCATCTCCCTACTGAAAATCTCCAGAACATGTTGGAATTAATCGCGTGGATAATCGTCAATATTTCCTTGTCATAAAAACCCTCAGAGAGCCTGGAGGATGAGTAAATAATTAAAAACAAGCAAGAGAAGCAACAGGTGCAGTTTCAGAGAAAGCTCCTCTATGAATTTTCATCAGTCATTTATCTTGTGGTTTCCACATTAAAAATGCAGAAAATTAATTAAGAAAAGTGTTCGGCACAGGAAAACAAGTCATTATTTTCCATCCTGATGGCCTTCTGACACATTTTTAAAATCACGTGTCGGTGTGACCTCGATTTTAGCAGCCAAGATCACTTTAAATCTGTTCAAAGAAGATTCAGAAACAACTTCTTTGACTGGAGATCAGGCTTTTAGCTTCTATTGTCTGCCCTAAATATTCACACTGTGAGTGTGAATATTCACTTTAAGAATATGAGTGAGTGAATGAGTGGCAGGGGTAATTAGTTGCAATCACGACCCGTTTCCAATCTTAGCCCAATCAGAATGTCAAAGAAATTTGATTGTAACATATTTATTTAACCACATTGCAAAGAAAATGACTGCATGTTGTGCAAAAATAGTAACTTAATTCCTACCCAATAGAAGCATTTTCATCTAAATTCAACCATTCTCATTTTTGAAACCTCACCTGTCTCCATCTTCTCTGCCAGTAATTCTCTTCTAAAATATATAAATATTGAAATAATTTGAAAACGGCTAAAACTCCACCTCATCTTATTGCAAAAACGATTTGTCGAAAATTCAAAATTGACATGTTTCCTTTAAGGAAATTTATTTTTGTAATTCCAAATTGCACAATAATATGACCAATAGAAATGCAGTTTATGTGAACAGACTAAATTTAAGTGATAAAACACATATTACAGAAGTTAAGACAAAGGAATCAGGAATAAAAAAAAGCAACAAGGAACATGAGATTTGACAACAGAGTCACAGAACTGAGGAGGATTTCTACTTGGGAGACTGATTACTGAGAGGAAACCCTGGTAAAAGTAGGAAACAGACAAAAATCAGAAAATACCAGAATTGATGCAAAGAAATAAAAATAGTGCTGTCCCTCCCACACTTGCTGCTGGCTGAAAGAAGAATAATATCAATTTCACTTCTTACAAAAAAAGATGCTATCAACTGTTTGAACATGAGATTAAAAGGATGAGGAACCTATTTGAAATAGAAGCAGGGTTAAATCATGTTGGATATTTTGCTTTAAATCTTTGTGATAAAACATCATAATTCCTTGAAACTACTATTTTGATACCAGAGTTATAAAAGTAATCTCACACCGGCCTATGTTTAGAGTGGACAGCAAATTAAAACTTGAACATCACATACTTCAGTAATATTTTTGAAATGTACTGAAACTGAAATGCGGAAGCTGCTGGGCCTCTGACAGCAGCCATGGTGTTTGTCAGATCAGGTGAGGCTGTCAGAGATTTTGGTCTCACTGGAATTTTAAGATGTGGATTTTTTTTCTAACAGTTTATTTATAAGACTCCACTCACAAACTTCCAGGATTTTTTTTTTTTTCATTTAGAAAAATTAATTGTTTCGTTTTGGCAGTGTTTTGAGAAAAAAAGCATTCTGAGCACTGCTGTGCAAGCTTGACAGATTCTTCCAAGTAGCCAAACTATTTCACATGATGACAAAGAGTCGCATATCATGTGCAAATTTAATAATTGAGTTAATGTGACGGGTTTGTGTGTAGTTGATGGAGTGTTGGACCGAGATCACAGACTTGTTGCTTGCTGATGTTGAGTGTGAAACTTGGACGAGAGACAATAACCCTGCCTGACATTTTGTGGGTGGATTTGTAAAAGAAAACACTTTAATTAAGTTGGAGATGAGAGAAAGAGGGCTGAGATCAGGCGCTGCACTGATCTGAAATTCAGAAAGGATTCTCACATAACTCTCACTTTGCTCCATCAGGGTGAAAGATGTTTGGAAACTGTAGCAGAAGTACAGTGTGTCTCTTTGTGGCAGGTTGCTGCTGCTGGAGGAAAAATGGAGGTCTAATGTGTTGAGGCTCTTGAAGCGCCTCATGATCACATTAGAGGGGTGTGAAGTTGTGATGATGATGTGTGTGATGGCAGTTTATGAAGATGGCTGAGCATTCCCAGTTAACCCATCAGAGCAGCAGCTTGTTCAGGGTTTACCAACCTCACTTGGTAATTTGGATGTCTTTGCCAGAAGCAGGTTGAGCCAATGCACAAAGCATTATTAACACACAGTGTAAAAATATTGGTATATTTGATACCAATATCAAATATTTGCAAGGAATAAAATTGAGACTTCCTCTAATAGTTCAAACACCAAATATACCTTATCGTGTATCAATAC